AAAAGACCCACCGTTGCCGATGTGAGAGCGAGCGAGAGACCAAAAAAGCCCACGAAAAAAAGACCCACCGTTGCCGATGTGAGAGCAGAGCGGGTCTCGGAGAGAGAGAAACGCGGGATAAGAAAGCCCGCGCGCAGCACCGATATGGGTCGCAGGAGCGGTAAGTGGCAGCGTCCACCGCCAACCGGACCGCAAAACGGCCCCCGGGCGACGAAAACACGCACTTTGAAACGGAGGCACGAGGGCGATCGAGAGCCGTTTTCTGGGCCGATTTCGGAGTGATTTGCATACTGAAACCAAGTGAAAAGCCTGCTGCGCTCACAGCGCCCGACAGAAATTGCGCAGAAAGCGTGGTGGTCCGCACGCAGGCCTGTGAGCAAAAAGATAAATGCTATAATTGTTATATATATATATATATATATTTTTTTTTTTGCAGGGGGGTGACCCGACCGTGTTGGAGGTGGCCGGCGACGAGTTTTCGCGCCTCGTGATCTCGAACGAGCTGGGCTACATGGGGGACCTCTGGGACATGTACATGACCCGGACGTGTCCCGCGCCTCCCGCGTGGGACGCGCCGCACCCGTACAGCCCTGCCTCGTTCGTGGACACGCTTGTTGGTAAGTTGCGGTGTCGATGTTGTCGTCGTTGTTTGCTATGTTTGTCGTCGTCGTCGTCGTCGTTGGGACTCTGTTGAACTTCTGGGGCTGCTCAGCAACAGCAGAGTCATTCGCTGTTATTGTTTCGTTTTGCTAAGTCTGCCCACGTTGTTGTTTCGGGGTTTTCAAGCGCAGCCCCGCTGCGTCTCGCAACCCCACACCCGAGCTCGCGGGTCGTGGTATTGCCGAACCATTGCAGCACATGTGCATGCGGTCTTTCAAGATAATGTTCGCACCGCTTCTCTCCCACGCGCCCCATTGTGGCCGTCGACGGCGACCACGGTCGGGCAGACATAAAAAAATATGTACTAGTCGTCGGGGATAGAACTAGTTGTCGGGGTCCCTCCTATTGGTACTAATGATCGGCCATGCCCCTCATGCCTCAACAGTGATTGGTAGTCACCAACAAACTCACCTTAGGCAGGCGACGTGACAGTTCGCGCCCCCTTCCCACTCCCGCGGTTCTCTTGTGTCGTTTTTTTTTTATAGTCGGAGGACGAGCGGCGTGGGTGGTGATTGCTAATGGGGGCGGCGGCGGGGTGCAGCAGAGTGCGCAATTCGGCCAGACTACGACGCAGACGGTGTTCTTGGAGGAGGTCGGCTTGATCGAGGTAGAGTGGACGGACCGTACCGCGCGCACGCTATTGCCGTAGGTAACATGACACAAGATACCACGCCCCCTGGAGTGATTTGCCGGACGGGCGGCACGGGAGGTCACATTTCACTTTTTTTTTCGATGTCGTCTTCTCGTCATCGCTCTGCTGGCTGCTGGCTGCTGGCTGCAGCTGCTGCTGCTGCTGCTGATTCATTTTCTTGAGACCGCTCTGAAGACGACTACTGTTTTCACGAATCGTCATCGCTGTTTCTTGATGTTCCCCCCCCCAGCACCGTTGTCATAGCTCACAAATTGCGTTCAGGCGTACTTACGTATGTTCCACGGACACGTCACTTTTCCAGGGTTTTGTGTTTTTGTGTGCACATACACACTGATGTGACTTCAGGGTCGTTCTCTCAGTCCTGGAAGGGGTGGGGGGGGGCGACGGCGGCTTGTGAAAGATCAAATTTAGTCCCTGCCTCCCAACAAATTGGACGGCCCAACACCCAACCTTTCGCTCGATAAACGCCTCTGCGCACAGCAATATTTTTTACGGAAAAACCGCTGTTTTCGCTGCGTTTCCCGGGTCTGAGCGTGATGGGGTCGGTGATGCTGCACCCTAGGCGCACGTACCTTGTAGCACGGCCAGGGTCTCTCGACAGCGCGGTACCTAACACTGCGGGGACCCGAAATAGTGCAATCGAAAGTCTCTTTAGCGCCTGTTTCGCCGAACACGCTGAACAGCTTTGCTTTCGTCCAATTGGCAAGAAAGAGTGCGGGGTTCTGCAACAGTGCCGGTTGTGGCAAAAAATGGCCGCTTGATCTCATTTTTCACGATTGAGGGACGGGCTCCGACTGTGCCGCTGCCCGACCCCTAGCAAGTGTGCGTGCACCGTGCTGTATTTCCTCGTTGTTCTGCTCTCCTGGCACCAGGTACTATCGGCCGGCCACAACAACTACGTCCTGCACCATCCCGCAACTGGTGAGGTTCTCGAAATTTCTCCCATTTTTGACGCGTTGGGTGGTTCGGGCGTGCCCGGCGGTGTAGACGGCGGGGCGATGCAGATCTCCAGCTTCGTCCGGCCCCGGCCACAGCGGCAGCAGCAGCAGCAGCAGCAGCAACAGCAAGGAAATTCAGGGGAAGCGGGCGCGGGGCAAGCCACGACCGACGACGTGCGGAAGGAGAAGGCGCAAGAGCAAGGGCATGTCTCCGACGTCGCGAACCAGCAACGCTCAGTGGAGGATGATGGCGGGCTCGAAGGCTCCCGAGGGCGAGCTGAGGCGAAAGCTCCGGCGACGGGGAGAGAGATGGACGACGACGGCGTGACGGGGACCAGGAGAGCGTCGGGGGAGGAGGAGAAGGAGTTGGAAGTTCGAGTCCCTGGAAGGGGGGGGGCGAGGACTGCAGGAGGGGCGGCGGCGCCGGCGGTCATCTCGGGGACAGTGATCGACGAGGAGGAAGAGTACGAGAAGGAGGAGGTGGAGGAAGAGGAAGAGGGGGGAGAGCGGCGGCAGGGCGGGGAACCAGAGGGCGAAGAGGCGGGGGGGCCAGCCGAAGGACTTGACCGCAACCCACATGGACACGGTGGCCAACATACCGGCGGCGGCAGCGGTAGACAAGATCGTCGGGTGAGGCGAAGACCGGTCCAGAGGAGAACTTTCATTGTCACGAAAGAGGTGAGAACGGTGGTCCCGGCAGCGGCAGCAGCAGGAGCACCAGCAGGCATTTGGCAACAGACAGCCGGTAGCAGTAGCAGGAGAAAGCACAGACAGCAGTGCGAGGGACAGAAGCGTTCTGTGTCGTTTGCTTCTACTAAGTAAGCGTTTAGGCGCGCGTGGCTGGGTCTCACCTTGAATTCCCCTGACATTTTTTTTTATTTATTCAGGGCCTGTCGGTGTATTGCTTGGTATCGGTGGTGGTCAACACCGACGGCAACAACAGCAGCAGCAGCAGCAGCAGCAGCAGCAGTAGCAGTAGCAGCAGCAGCGACAACAGCAGGCACTACTCGTGCTCGCTGTCTACCTTCAGTGCCCCCGGCAACGGCATGGCCGTCATCCCCCCGGTGTGGGCCCCGCTTGTGCTCGTGAAACCCAACGACGGAGTTTCCAGAGGCATCTCCCTCGGGTGCCACCTCGATGCCTCTGTTGGAGCTGACCCTGCTGCTAGAGGTGGAGCTGGCACCGAGCCGGGCGTTGATGATGGTGCTGGTGCCCCCCCACGTAGTTTTCGGGACAGGTTGCGGGGCTGGTTCCAACAACACAAGGGATCGGCGCACTCGACCCTAGGATCGGGTTGGGCGAGAACATCCTCTGATAGCGGCGGCGGAAGTTACTCTGGGACCATCATGGTCGTGCTGCGAGGGGAATGCACGTTCGAGCACAAGGTGCGGGAAGAGGCAACGCTTCAGGCGTGGCTGCTGCTGTTTGTTTTTGGTCTTGTCGATGATGCGGGTCGTTGATGTTGTTCTTACTGGCGATACCATATGTTCAGGGCAACCTACCAACGGTATGTTCCACAACTACCCGCAATGACGTCACAAGTTTGGAAAGGATGTTATATTCATCCAAATTGTTAGATTGCGCGCTGCTACCATCTTCGAGCGCCGAGAAAGACCCGACGCCCCCCGCACGCACGCGATCAGGCGAGGGTTGCCGAGGCGGCAGGCGCGGTCGGTCTTGTGGTGATCAACAACGAGCCCGGAGGGGTGACCCTGGCCATGCCGGGGGCTAGCAACGCCGGGATTAACGACGACGACGAAGACGAAGAAGAACAGGGGAATGGTGGTGTCCAAGGTAGCGGCGTGAACATCCCGGTCGCGATGGTGAGAGCGGACAGAGAGGGGCTCGTCTCTTGAGGATGAGTGCCCCCTCCGCTATGTTCCATGTGCTGCCCGTGACAGAAGAACCTCTCGTTTGGTCGGATATAATTTGTCGGCGTTTTCCAGACCGGGCGCGATTGGGGGTCAGGGTTAACCGTAAAATACGCCAATGGACACACACAGGAGCGCGACACGACGGAGACGCGCAGAAAGACACCCAAGGGAAACGATTGTTTAGGAGAACGGAAGGGATATGCTAGGATGGCAAGAGTACACGTTCTCAAGGCGCGCCTTTTCTTATCTGATGGGCGCACTCGTAGAACACGTGTGCATGCTGGTTTGCGTGCGCGCGCCGCCCCCGGCGTTTTTTCCGCGAGTGTACCAAGCGCGAGTATGCCCGCGTTGTGCATGCCACCGCCCGCTTCCATTGCCACATCTGTGTTGACACTGCAGACAGTGTACTGCTTTCACTGCTTTCACAAGAGGAGGCAGGCGTCGCAGAGAGGGCAGGGTTACGG